TTCGCTCCGTGTCGTCCACGTCGGTCCGCGAGGTGAGGTCGCCACCGCTCGTCTGCGCGCCGTCGTCCATGGACAGCTTTGGCACTCGATAGGCCGATTCGGACCAGTGCTCGCGCCCGGACGTCTTGGGCGCGGCACCGCGAGCAGACTTTAGGGCAGTGGCGTCAGACGTCTTTGGAGCGACCCTCGATCCCGACTTGGCGAGGACCAGCCGCGGCCTGGATGAGGGTTTTCGGGAGCCCTTGTCCAGCCGAGCAGCGAGCGATGCGTCTCTCCACCTGAGCAGCGCCGCATCCAGAGCCGTCTCGCTGACCGCCGATGCCCACAGCGTCCGCCACTTTTCCGAATCGGGGCCGAGAGCCACTCGCAACGGATGCTGCTTGCCGCTCACTTGGATCACGACGGTCCCGGGCTCGGGCTCGCTCATCGCCGTGCAAGTTTTCAGGTCAACCTTTCCGGTTGGAGCAAAGATGGAGCCAATCATCCGGCCGTAAGACACCACGGCGCCTTCCGAGACGAAGAAGCGCCGCTCCGAGGTCGCCTCGCCGCCCTTGTGAGACTTTAGGAGCCAACCGGAGTGGGAGGCGGCATTCATCGGGTACTTCTCCTGCCGTACTCCTTGTCCCGCGTCCATCTTTCACAGCCTTGTTATTGAGAAGAAAAATCCTTTTTTGCCCAAGACGCACAAGCTCAGACACTTCACACAACGTCTTCACAGCCTTGTTATTGTCAACAGAGGGCAACTGCGAGTGTGTCGGCCGCGAGCTCGCCGGCCCAGGTCGACGATTTGAGAGAGAGAGATTTTTAGCAATACCAAACAACTCTAACACTCAGCTCACAGCTATTTCGCTATTCAAGCGCCAATTGCGAATTGGCTACTATGCTGCAGAATGTGTCAGCGGCCGCACACTCTCACTGCTCGGTACCCCCCCTGCACATCTAAAACCATCCGTGCAGCGGAATAGTGTGGTGGTGATCAGAGTGGTCTGACCGTGTGGCATGGTCCTGGTCTCGGCCCTCTGTAGTATCGTGAGGCGTCCCTCGTCTCTCGCTCGAGAGATAGTCATCTGAACCCGAAGATCGGTGCCCAGCAGGTGTGAGTGGTGAGCCGCGTACACGGCTCTGCGGTATTGCTGACCGCTGGTGAGGCTGTAAAGCCATCCTCAAGCCGAGGCTGACATATTGATAGAAGGTATTCAAGGTACGAAGGTGTGGTGTCACACCGGTGGGGGGGAAGGCGCCAGTTGCACCGAGTTGTGGTGTCACAACAGTAGAGAGGTCGACTGTCTCGCAGCGCGGCGGTACCACGAGAAGCAGTCAGAGACTATGACGTGCCAAACTTGGGCGCCTATTCGGCGCCCGACGGAGGTGCCAATATTAGGGATCTAGGTGGCGTGACGTGCCACTGCACAGGGTGTGGGAATATAGGGATATAGGTAGACTATTCATCACTATGGGGGGGGGAGAGAGTGATAATAGGGGTGTTGAGGTGGGGCTGGTGGAGGTGATTCTCCGGGTCAGTCTGGAGGTCATTCTCCACCACCTCCTGCGACAGCTGGGTAGCCATTCCCCCGGGGAGGGGGGCCGTCAGAGGCTGTGTCAGGAGCTGTCTGAGTCGAACTTGTTTGTATGATACCAACTGGCGTTGAGTTGAACCACCGGTATTATTCACACCCCGGAGGGCTGGTGTATCCATCTCGTGGCTGTCAGGGTTGTCCTGGCAATTTGATAGGTTGAGCCTGGCAGCTTGGCACTCTGAGAGGGAAATCCCCTGTCAACCCTGTGCCTGGATGCTGTCTGGTAACTTGATAGCTTGGTAGACTGGCACTCTGAGAGGGAAATCCCCTGTCAACCCTGTGCCTGCAGCCTGGTAGTTTGATAGCTTGGTAGACTGGCACTCTGAGAGGGTATCCATCCCTGTGCCTGCAGCCTGGTAGTTTGATAGCTTGGTAGACTGGCACTCTGAGAGGGTATCCATCCCTGTCAACCCTGTGCCTGCACCGTTGAGTGGCGCGTACCGCACCGTTGAGTAGCGCCAGTTGCACCGTTGGATGGCGCGTACCGCACCGTTGAGTGGCGCCAGTTGCACCGTTGGATGGATCTCGACCTAGTCGTCGAGGTGAAGTCAGCTTATTACACGGGGTTGACAAATCCGTCGTGAACATGTATTTGGTCGATGCGAAAAGCCTCGCAAAGGCTCTTCAGCGTGAAGGAATGGTCTGCAAGCGACGCGCGAGACGGAGGGCTGAAAGCTGGGCGGCGGCCCAACTGGCCGCGAGAAGCGAAACGGGCGAAGGCGGCGACGAGGAGGCCGCACGGGCCGAGGTAGTTCCGAGAACGACGTCGTGGACTTCGAGCACGACGTCGAGCTTAGCCTCGAGCCCAGCCGCGGCAGCTGGATAGACCTGAGGGAAAAAGCTCGAGAAATTCACCGTAGAGCGCCCAGAGGGGGTGGAAGTGCGCCGTCATCCAATACCCATCTAGAATGTCTTCCCGACGCAGCCCGTTTAGATCCTCGTTTTGGCCCAGCTGCTCGCACAAACCATCGAGATATTTCGGGGTTGTGTCACACAGCTCGTCCAGCAGCGTTTGCATGCGCATGCTTGCGCCGCTCCCGTCAGAGTGCGATGGCCTCCTTGCCACCTCATCGATGATGCTTTGCAACTGCTCCCGGCTGCCCGAGATCATGTCCGAAAAGATCCAGGTGAACGACAAACAGGAGCTGAGGAAGTCGATAGCTGAAACTGGCACAACAGCGGTAGCGGTAGTGGTTTCGGCCGTGGCGTCATCCGTAATCGGAGAGGTAAGCGAAGCGTCGGCTGCCGGCCCAACTGGCGGCTCGACAGGCAAAAAAACTGCCTCCGTGCTCCCTCCCCTGCAGGCTCCATCCCCCGGCGAGGGGGAGGCGTGTGTAGTACCGGGCGCGCCTGACTGCGGCAGCGGCACTGGTGCTGGTGGCTGCCCTGCGGCGGCCAGCAGAGGCGATGGTGGAGGTGATACACCGAGGTTCTGGGCAGGTTCCCGCACGCCCAAAGCCTCGTCGGACGTTCGTCCAAGTTCTGTTGATTGGTGTTGTTGCGCGATACTCGCGTCCCACCGCGAGTTCACTGCAGCTGGCCTGATCGCTGCCACGGTCAAGCCAGACCCTTTCGGGTCTGTTAAGGCTTCCGTCGGAGGAGAGCTCGCCGGCAGCCTGGCAGAAGGCATTCCAGCTGGCATAGCCCCCTCCCCAACGGAGCCAGGCGACGATGACTTGTCCAGTGCATCGATGCCGCCCTTGGGCTCGGTGTTGCCACCAAGCCTGCCCAACGTGGTGTGGTGGTGATCAGAGTGGTCTGACCGTGTGGCATGGTCCTGGTCTCGGCCCTCTGTAGTATCGTGAGGCGTCCCTCGTCTCTCGCTCGAGAGATAGTCATCTGAACCCGAAGATCGGTGCCCAGCAGGTGTGAGTGGTGAGCCGCGTGCACGGCTCTGCGGTATTGCTGACCGCTGGTGAGGCTGTAGAGCCATCCTCAAGCCGAGGCTGACATATTGATAGAAGGTATTCAAGGTACGAAGGTGTGGTGTCACACCGGTGGGGGGGGAAGGCGCCAGTTGCACCGAGTTGTGGTGTCACAACAGTAGAGAGGTCGACTGTCTCGCAGCGCGGCGGTACCACGAGAAGCAGTCAGAGACTATGACGTGCCAAACTTGGGCGCCTATTCGGCGCCCGACGGAGGTGCCAATATTAGGGATCTAGGTGGCGTGACGTGCCACTGCACAGGGTGTGGGAATATAGGGATATAGGTAGACTATTCATCACTATGGGGGGGGGAGAGAGTGATAATAGGGGTGTTGAGGTGGGGCTGGTGGAGGTGATTCTCCGGGTCAGTCTGGAGGTCATTCTCCACCACCTCCTGCGACAAATAGGGGGGGTCTGACCCCCCCCCCCCCCGGGGGGGAGTCGGCCAAGATGTGCGCGGGGGGTACCGAGCAATGTGCGGCCGCTCCAGCGCTGTGTTCCCACCGCTGTGTTCCCGCCGACCGGTGCGCCGGTGCCGGTGCTCGAGTGATGGGTGATGGGTGGGGCACTTTGGAGCACTTGGAGTGCAGTCATTAACCTCACATCCAGGGCCAGGGAGCTAAGAAGCGCACCCAGCGAGCCGGATGATCGGCATCGGGCTACGGGCTAGAGAGCCCTGACCCCTAGCTAGGGGGGGTGCGCATTCGCAGGGAAAGGGCCGTAAAGTAAACACGGGTCCCCGAGGGTTGGCTCTGCGCTCCGGGTTTCCCCTAGCAGGCTGAGCGGAACGCCCCCTCTACTACTCGGGGCTAGTAGACACCAGACACTGCACGACAACACACACATTCCTCACTGACATCACCACTCGGAACCCCCCGCTCCGCGCACGGTCTCCTCACCCCCACTCCGAGGGGGGCCCTCCCTGGAGCCCCCCTGCAGTCGAGGGAGTCCTCGTTGGCGATGAAGGTGGCGACATCGAATCGCGGCCGACACGTCACGGGAGGAATGGGCGATGAGCGGGAACGATGCGCGCTACGACGCCGACTCCGCCGTGCTCGTGGCCGCCAAGCAGAAAGCCGCGCTCCAGGAGCACGCCAAGATGCAATGGCTCGCTTGCTTCGATTCAGCTCTCTCGGCAGCAGAAGTGGGGCTGGAGCGGGTCGGGGTGGATGCCGATTGAGGGGGAGCGTCTCCAGCTGCGCCCTGTGTGTGTCCGACCCCTTTTGCGCAGCAACACCTTAAACTTCATGGCCCTCCAAATTCGGGTCGGAGCGAGCGTAGCGGAGTGGGCCCCGAGTTTGAAAAGGGCGCCGGACGCTTGCGTCCTACCTAGCCTCCAACAACGCCTCCCCGGCGCAGAGGGGCCCCCGGAGGGATGCACAACCGCTCCACGCCACGCCGCTTGCGGCGGTCCTCTTCCCAGCTCCGCTGAGGGGCCGTGCGTTTTCTTTTCGCGGGTAAAATTCTTTCGCCGAGTCCTTTCCGGACGGAGGAAAGCCGGAAAGCCGCCGCCGCCGTCGCCGCCCTCCCTCTCCCTCTCCCCTCTCCCGTCGGCAATTCTCTCCTGTCGCTGCGCGCATGAGCAGCCTGCTGCAGTGCATCCGGTCCAAGTGCGAGTCGGCGTCGAAGAAGAAGAAGGGAGGCGGCGCTGCAGCCCCTGCAGCATCCGCCCCGGCGGCGGCCGCCGCCAGCAGCGATGCTGGCCGCCAGTCGGTCGCGCTTCAGCCGCACACGCCGGGCGAGCTGCCGCAGTCGGGCGAGTGCGGTGGCCTTCGGATGGTGGTGGGCTCCAAGGGGTTTGGCATGCTCAAGGGCTCCGAGAAGCAGTACGTGGGGGTCGCTGCGGTGCTGACTGCGCTGCTCAAGCCGGAGAGCGTGGCCGAGCCTCTGCGCAGCATTGCCCTCGCGAAGCGTGAGGATATTGAGAGCTTAGCGGAGCGGCATGCCCTCACCGAGGGCGCGAACAAGCTGCCCGAGGGCGAGGCGGCCAAGAAGCTGCTGATGCTGGTCGGGGTGCGCCCGAGATCACGCCCGGACCACACGCAAAATCACAAGAGACCACACACACGTGAGATCGCCCAATAGCAGACGCGAGATCACCCGAGATCGCACGCCGCCTCGCCCACCAACTTGCTCCTCCCCTCTCACCAATCCCCGCCCCCTTCCCTACCGCTGCCGTCGCAGCCTCCGATCGAGATTGCTGTGCTCGGAGCCATCGGAGGAAAGAGCTCGGCGCTCGCGCGCGCCAAGGCCATCCGCGAGTCGCGAACCTCTAGGGCAGCGAAGCCGGCGGCGGCAGCCAAGCCAGACGCGGCGCGGGACAGCACTGCGTCCAAGCCGGACGCGGAGCGCGAGTCCGTCACCTCCGTGCCCGAGAGTATTGCCGAATCGGCCGGCGAGGAGGCTGCAGCAGCCGCAGCGTAATGCACACGCACCCTGGATCGCCATCGCGGCCTGCCGCCCCTGCTCGTCTCGACACGGGTGTGTCGAGTGCTGCCTCTTATTGCGTGCCGGCTCTGGGCTCGCGTGCACTGTTTTCCCGCCATGCGTGAGAGGATCTCGTGCGGAGTCTGGTGTCTGCGCCAGGTCTGCGCGCGCGTCTGCGGCGCTCCCCCGGCGAGTACACACGAGTCACTACACAGGGTGAGCTCACAAAAAATCGCATGCGACTTCCGTTATATCATGCGTGATGCGAGGCCCGACCCCGAGGCGCGGCCCCCCCCACGCCCCACAGGTGGAAGTAGCCAGGAGGGGAGACTTGATGTTGATCAGCGGGAAGAACATGCTGAACTGCTCGACCTTCAGCAGTTGGAAGCAGCGGCAGAAGCAGTAGTTGTAATTTAAGAAGTTGGTCCGCCCGGGCGGCTTGCAGGCCTCAAAGGGCTCTTGCAGGCGGTATGTGTGGTAAGCTCGGCAAAGGCCCCGACGATTTCGTTTTTACTCTTCTTGCGCTTCCGCCGAACTAACCAACCATATACCGAAATGGTCTCGTCGCAGGCTGCAGCTGGAGCAAACGCTATCCGCCGAATCATTTGCTCTTCTGAAGAAGGCAGTAGCGAGCTGTGACAGTCCCATCATGGATTACATAGCCGTCAAAGCAGGCGGCATCGATTTCGCACGACGAACGCTCGGAATATCCTAGGGAACGACCAACGTTGCCAGGTGACTCTCCCAGCGATTATGCTCGAGGCGGAAGGCAATGTCATCGAGGCCGCGGCCGCTCCCGCGGCTGCAGCCGCACCGGCTGCCTAGCCCGCTAGCCGGCTGCGGCCGCAGGCCCGTCCAATGCGACGACGGCCGCAGTTGCCGCCCTCCTCGCCCAGCGCATTGCTCTTACGGTTAGTGGTGCGCTCGCCTCCCTCCTGCGCGACGCTCATTCGAGCGCGTTGTCTGTCTCGGCGCGCGCGCAGCGCGAGAAGAGGTGTGAAGAGGGGGGTCGTGTCCGGTGTGAAGGGTAACCCACGTGTGAAGGGTATCAACCTATCCTCTAGGGGCCCAATGCGGGTCCTCTCAAGAGGGTATCAGGGTATAGCCCTGGGGTATGATCTGGGGTACAATGATACTATAAGCTAAAAGTACCAAGCTGAAGTACCGAATCTAGGCGCCTGCGCGACCGCCGGACGAGGTCGACGCGGGAAGATTGGACCGCGAGGTGAGTGGGTAAAAAGTGTGACGGGTGACAACGTCGCCCCCCCCTTGAGCCTTGTGAAGGCAGATTAATCATCTCTCATGCCGGCACACGGCGTGAAAAAAACTTGCGACCAAGTCCAGGGTGACGCTCATGTCTCATGTGTGGCAGTCTCGCTCCCAAAAGGTGCACAGCGTCAGCGACAGAGTGAAATCCTAAAAAAGAGAAAAATATTGTCTCGGTATACACTGATGGTCCACCGGAAAACTCAACGGACTTGAGCTTGGGGCCGGGCCCCGAGCACAGCCCTATGATTTCCGTTGGTGGACCACCGCGCGTTCCCGATTTTGTCCCCCGGACCGCCCGTCCGGCACCGCGCCGGGACGCACGCCGGCGAAGCACCATCAAGCTGCTGTACGGCCCCGGCATCGCCTCTCCTGGGCTTAGCTAGACTGAGAGATATTGTGCACATGGTCAGTCTCTCCAATACACTCACTGACACTTTACCTTCCAGAGCTTGTCCCGGTCCGCCACGGCCATCCTCGGCCTCCGGAGGGCCCCCGGCCGCGGCGCGGTGCGGCGGCGTCACAAATCCGACCACAGAGCACCGGGACGCGGTCGGGCGATCTGAGGCCCAACTAGGCGTATGCATTGCCCATCCAGGGCTATCACCTGGACCAATCAACAGGCGCCCGCGGCGCCGAGTTCAGGAGCTGCTGCTCGCCAACCTGTTCACACTTTCGTAGCTACGGCACAGTACAACCCGCTCTGCTGAATGAGAGCAAGTGAGTACTGCATCTGAGTCACTGTGATTTGTCGTAATTTTCAGCTAAAAAAATGATGACATCCCATAGGAAACCCCAAATTCTCGTCGCGGGGCTCCGCCCCGCACCCCGCCAGGGCTCACGCCCTGGACCCACTTTTCACCACAGCAGCTGTTTCTGGTTCACCTTTTGGGAGCGAGACTGGTGGGGACGACTGGGGTGGCTGCCACGATTTTCTGGATCGATGGCCGCGCGCCCAGCACCGGATTGCCATCGCGCATCGGCAGGGCCAGGGGGGCGGGCGGGCAGCGGCGCAGTAGCGCAGAGCGAGAACCAGATGATGTCTGATGTGTGGTGGGAGTGTGTGACTGGTCGCGTCAGCCCTTTGTGGAGCACACTATCACTCGTCAGGTCATGCCTGACACGCCCATACTCACACATGAAGTACAGCGATCGCCATCTCGCTGTGGCCTCTCCGCAAGGCCCGAACTCAACGGCGCGGGCTCTCTCGGCTACGGGACACCGGCCCCAGCTTTTCGGCTGAGGGCTGACAAGCTGCCGAGCCCAAATCACTGTGAGAGTCGTGATTTCTTGTTGGTTTTCAAAATCTCTCTCTCACATTCCGACAACCGGGAGATCCTGCAAGGCGCAAGAGAGAATGCCAGTGCGCTAGCCTGGATGTGAGGCTGCTTGGAGTCTCCGTCCGGTTCTGTCAACGCAGACGCCCATATACACAAACACACACACACACCTCGGTCGGGGCAGCCCTACCGGGGGCTGTCACAGGTGTTATTTTCTTGGTGAGCCGGTGTGTGTGCCAGTCCGCGCCAGTCCGCGCCCTTGTCGTGCCAGGGTGCGAGAATTCTTTTCTTGCTGCCTGATTTCGAGTTCATGTCGAGCCAGATCCGTGCGGTTGCTCCGGCAAACGAACGACCCCAGGTAAGGCCTACGGCATCAGAAGGGGCCAAGAGGAGTCCAGTCTGAGCGCCGCGATGTCGCACGAGACGCAAATCGTCCTCGATCTGCCCGACGAAGTGGCAGAGCTCCTCGAGGCGGATCCGCCGCCACACATGGAGATCCGGTGGGACCCGCTCCCCGACGGAGCACCGGTGCCGCCGCCGTGCGGCGAGACGGCGCGGTTCTGCGTGGCCGGCCACGAGTTCTTCGCCAAGCTCATGTCGCTCCCGACCGTCGTGGAGTCCAAGAAGTCGGTCGACCCGGCGGGCGAGGTGTACTATGAGTCGCGCAAGATCGGGCAGGTGCTCGTGGTGGCCAAGTCGAGGGAGGAGCTGCCCGCGGGGACGGAGCAACGGGACGGGCTCACGCCGCCGATGGCGGCGATCCGCGAGCGCAAGTGGCGGCGCCGGCCCTTGCACGACCCGAAGGCGGTCGAGCAGGTGGCGCTGGAGCTCGAGCGTGGCTTGCGCGGCGGCGGGCCGCTCAAGCCGGAGTACGACATGGTGGACGAGGAGGACTCACCGGGCCGTGGGTGTGAACGGCGTCCCTCCATAGCTGCAGCTGTGAATAGGTGGACGAGGAGGTCGAGGTGTCCGACTACGGCGATGACGAGGAGGACGAGGCGGAGGAGGCAGAGCGGAGAGCGGCACAGAGGCAGGCAGAGATCGATGCCGAGCGCGGCAGCGGCAGCGGCGGCGGCGGTGGTAGTGGCGGTGGTAGTGGCGGAGGCGGCAGTGGCAGCGGCGGAAGGGGCGGGCCCATACCGTTCCCAGCGCTCGAGCCCAAGTCGCAGGCAGGCAGTGCGTTAGTCGCAGGCAGCAGTGGCGGCGGCAGTGGCGGTGGCGGTGGCGGTGGCGGTGGCGGTGGCGGAGGCGGTGGCGGCGGTGGCGGTGGCGGCGGTGGCGGAGGCGGAGGCGGAGGCGGAGGCGGAGGCGGTGGCGGTGCGCCCCTGCCGATCAAGCTCAAGCTGCTACCGGTGCGGCCCAGCTCACCGGCAGCGCCCGCGCCAGAGGCGGCGTCGGCAGCGGCGCCAGCAGCCGCGCCGCCGGCGGGGACGGGGGCGGCGGGGGCGGGGGCGGGGCCGTCCGAGGCTGCGCCGGCGGAGGAGATGGACGAGCTGGGCAGGCTGCAACAGCAGCTGCGGGAGGAGCAGTTGAAAAAGTTGAAGGCGGCGGAGGATATCGCCGCGCTGCAGGCCAAGGCGCCGCCGACCAACCCGCTGCTGCGCGTGAGGCAGCAGACGCAGCTCGACAAGCTCAAGCGCGACGAGCAGAAGGCGGAGGAGGAGTGCAAGAGGCTGCAGCAGCTGATCGACAACGGAGGCATCCCGCTGCCGACGCCCGCGCCCGGGAAGAAGAAGAAGAAGTGACGGGAGTGTGTGTGTGTGGTGTGTGGTGCGTTGGCACTTGGGGCAAAGAAAGAATGAAAGAAACAAGCGCAGCCCCCCTTATCTGCCCACGGCGTGAGCTCCTCTGTCACGTGTCAGTGTGGACACCTCTCGCTTCACCTCCTACGGCACCGCCGCACCACCGGGCGGCTGCTGCTCAAGCACCAGACGCGCCTGCGGCTGCTTCGCTCAGCCGCTCGGCCGCCGCCGCCGCCGCCGCGGGCGCGGCCGCTGGCCGGGTTCAGCGCGCACAGCCTTCGCAGCGCGAGCAAGCCGGAGGGCCGCGGCATCGGCGAGCATGACGACGATGCCGGCCCGAGGCTCCCCTCCCTCCCTTGCCTCCCATCGCCCTGCCGCCTCTCCCTCCCTACTGCCTCTCCCCCCGCCTCGATTGCCCCCGTCGCAGGCTCTCTCCTCTTAGTCGGCTGATCTCGGCTGATCTCGGCTGGTCTCGGCTGATCTCGGCTGATCTCGGCTGATCTCGGCTGGTCTCGGCTGATCTCGGCTGGTCTCGGCTGATCTCGGCTGATCTCGGCTGGTCTCGGCTGATCTCGGCTGGTCTCGGCTTCAGGCTCTCGCTCCTCTTCGACGGCGGCGCGGTCCTCGTCTGGTGCAGCACCCACTCAGCCGAGCAACGAACTCTGCGTCGCCTGTGAGCATCACTCAAAGTCAATGTCTTAAGGCCGTTCAAGAGCGACGTCGTGCTGGGCGCGCTCCTCTCGAGCGCCCTGCTGCAGCCGCACCTCGAGTGGCACTGCCGCGCCGCGCTGCTGCAGCGGAGCGTCGGCATCGAGCTCGGCGACGGCGCGCTGCTGCGGCGCGCTTTTGTCCACCCCACCGCCGTCGACATCGAGCGGCGACCGCCCCCCCCCCCCCCCCCCGGACACAGTGTGTGCAGTGTGCCTGTGATAGCGAAGCGTGAGACCACTAGTTGCAATTACGGGAGCTGTGACAGCTGTGTCCTGTGACAAATGACCACTTTTGATTTTTTGTCCGTGTTGCTCCCAGCGCCCTCGCCCGCGCGGCTCCCTGAGGCCATGGCTGGTGCTACTAGTATGGGGGGGGGCTACCCCTCTGGCTACCGCGAGAGCGACCCAACTCGTCGACATCGTCCGATGATGGTGCCTCAAAGTCAGCCTCCGGAGGCTATCGTCGCGTCGAGCCGGCGGTGGCCGTGACATGTGGTTCCACCACCCCTCGTAGGCTTTGCCTCTGACCGCCACCGTTCCCAGGCTGCCTAATGGGATGGAAAGGAAGGCTGGGCGAGCGTATAGAAGCGCGCTCGACCTCGTCGTGGCAACCTGCACGGCAGCGCTGGCAGGCGCGATGAGCGTCGTGCCACCTGACCCGAGACGGGTCGCAGGCGTCGTACCGAGCGCATCGAGACCGTGTCCTGATGCGCTCTGCACGGGTGAGTCACGTCGGCGTCAAAGCACAAAGGAGCGACGTCTGACCTGTCAGAGCTTGATCTCCGATCTCAGCGGGCGTCGAGTCGCCTTCGGTGGCGACAGCTAGGATGCATCTCCTCCTTCGTTTTTTGCGCTATGGCCCTGGGAAGCTGGCGCCGCACGCAGGCGGACCGGGGTTGTGTGTTTATGTGGGTTGCGCGAGCACATGCAGGCTCGCGCTGCGCTGCAGTATAAGGTGGGCCTGGCCTACCATGGCAATGCCGCTCTTCCTCCGCGCCGACGCTGGACATCGGACAAGTGGTCCACACGCTGAACAGAATGTTCAATCTCAATGCCCCACCCCCCTGCGCGCGGGCCTTCTAGACCCGCGGGTAGTCTCCCCCCATCCCCAGGGCCTCCAGGGCTCGCACCTCAACCTCTCACAGACCAGCGCAAAGCGCCCTCGACGTATTTTCTTGTCAATAACAAGGGCAAGCTGTACCCGACAGTCTCGCTCATGCGTTTACCTAGCCTCTCGTCCCTCCTCCTCTACGTCCCTCGCCCTCTGTATCCGTCGATCTGTAGCACGGTCCGCGAGACCTCACCGCGCATGCTCCAGCGAGGCGAGCCTGCTGCCGCTGGAGAGGTACGCACCTTTGCGGAGCTCGGGCTTCGGCATGAGCTTTCTGCGGCCCTGCCCTTCACGGCTCCGCTCGAGATCCAGCGGCTCGCGTGGCCACACCTCGCGGGCGGCGCCGACGCGATCCTCGTCTCTGAGGCGGGCTCGGGAAAGACACTCGCGTATCTCCTCCCGCTGCTGCACGCAATGCTCGAGCGGGCGGGCGGCGGTGAGCAGATTGGGCGGGCGGGCGGCGGCGAGGCGCCATCGCCGTCGAGGACGGGGCGGCTCCTGCTGGTCGTCCCGACCTCGGTACCTCTCTGCGAGCTGACTGATATGTCAGGAGATGTCAGTGACATGTGCATGTACATGTCCCACAGGTGCTCTGCGAGCAGCTGCTGGCGCAGGCGCGGGCGCTGCTTCAGTGCTCGCCGCTCTCGGTCGCCGCGGCGAGCTCCGACCACGCGCGAGGCTCGCACGTCGTGGTTGGGACGGCGACGGCGGTGGAGGGCTTGCTGTCCGGCTGGCGGAGGAGGGAGGGGCGGCTGCACGTCGTGTTTGACGAGTGCGATTTGCGGAGAGATAGCCGAGAGATAGCCGAGATGTAGCCGAGAGATAGCCGAGAGATAGCCGAGATGTAGCCGAGAGATAGCCGAGAGATAGCCGAGGTGTAGCCGAGAGATGGCTCCGCGTCGTGTTTGACGAGTGCGATTTGCCACCTCCAGAGACACTCCAGAGGCAGAGACGCTCCGGAGACACCTCCGAGACACTTCCGAGACATGTCCCCCGGACAGGTGCGACTTGCTCCTCGCGGGCGTGATGAAGAAGGGCAAGCAGGCGGCGGCGCCACCCCTCACTCAAGGGCCAGCACCTGCCCTCTTCACACAGCCAGGCGGTGTGAACCTATCTGTGAACAGGCGGCGGCGCTGCCTGCATCAAACGTGCTCAGCCTCGCGCGGCCGCGAAAGCGGCCGAGGCGGCGGGAAGGGGAGGCAGAGCCGCAAGAGTCCCCGCCGCAGCTGATTTTTGCCTCCGCGACTGTTCCTGGCCAGGGCGGACCCTCCGCCGGCGCCTTCGCCGCCACTGTGAAGAGCGTCTCTTCACAGCGTCGCGTCGACGCTGCGAATAGGCCGCCACTCCGTCGGTGCCTTCCTCGCGCGAGACGTTCCAGACGCCGTCTGGGTGCCGAGATACAGCCGAGATACAGCCGTACTCCTGCCCCTGCCCAACCCCTCCCTGAAGCCACCCCAAGCCACTCCTCCTCCCCCGGCCTCCAGCTCCCCTCCTCGGCCATCTCGCGGCTCCACCTCGGCTGCATCTCAGCTCCACCTCGGCTGCACCTCCCGCCTCCAGGTGCGCTCCTCGGGCGCTCACCGGCCGGTGGCGGCGCTGCAGACCGAGTTTGTGCGCGTGGCTGACGACGCGGAGCGGGCGGCGGAGCTGCTGAAGCTGGTGCGGGGGAGGGAGGGGCGGACTCTCGTCTTCGCAAACTCGGCGTGCCGCCGAGACGGGGCCGAGATGTGGCCGGGACACAGCCGAGAGAGAGAGAGCTCCTTGCCGGTTCGGAGAGCGGAGGAGGTCGCGCCGCTCCGCGTGAGCGGCGCCTCCTCACAGCTGCGCCGCCGTGACCAGGCCTCGCGCGCCGCGCGCGTCGCCGAGCAGCTCCGCGCGTCCGGCTGCTCGTGCTTTGCCTTTCACCCGAGCCTGTCTGCTGGCGAGCGGGAGGCGGCGCTGGCGGGCTTCGGCGAGGACGAGCGGGGCGTGCTCGCTTGCTCTGGCGCGAGACACAGCCGAGAGACAGCCGAGAGACAGCCGAGAGACAGCCGAGGTATGGCCGAGATATAGCGTGGTCTGCTCGGGCCAGGCCGCGCGCAGACCTTTCCTTCGCCCTTTGTTGTGTGACTTCACAGCCGTCTTGTTTCAGGCCTCGCCGCGCGCGGGCTCGATCTGGCCGGAGTGGTGCTGGTGGTGCAGCAGCAGCTCGCGCCGCACATGGTGCAGACTACCCGAGATTACCCGAGCTTTTTACCCGAGCTTACCCGAGCTTACCCGAGCTTACCCGAGCTTACCCGAGCTTACCCGAGCTTACCGAGTGGTGCAGCTGCTCGCGCCGCACATGGTTGCGCTCCTCGAAGAGACATTCAGGCTTCGCATCTGTATCGCATCTGTACCTAGGTGGAGTACATGCACCGTGTCGGCCGCACCGCGAGGGGGGTCCGTCTGGCGGCCAGGACACCGCCACAGAGGAGAGCTGTGTACTAGACGAAGGCTGCGAATAGGTCTCGGCTGCGGGTCGCGCGGTGAGCCTCGTAGACAGCCAGTCCGAGGCGGAGCTGGCTCTGGTGCGCGAGGTGGAGCGGTGCGTCAGCGGGTCGTGGAAGTTCGTTTGATTTTGATGACCGGCGGTCACCTTGGGCGCTCGGTCTCGCTGCCAGGACGCAGGAGCATCGTCAAAGTGGTCCTCTTCAACTGAGAAAAACACCCCTCGGTCCCCCCCTCGGTGAACGACTCCGGCTTCTCACAGGATCCAAAGAGGTAAGACTAAGAGCGCTCACACCGCTCTCTCTTCCCCCAGCCCCACGGCCACGCCCGGCAGTCACTCCTGCACGGCTCCGGCAATAGAGCCGTGTAGGCAATCTCCCGGGGAAACAATCCAGCGCGCGACGACGGCCTGCCGCAGGTGTCACATGTCTTGGCGAGTTCGGAGTTCCTTGGTCTGCCGGATGGCTTGGGGTACGCACTCGAGTATGTGACGAGCACTTATCACATCGGACGCTAATCGGACGCCAGGACGCCACGGACAGCCGGGACAGGACGCTGCTCTATTATATTACACAGCTGTGTAGGAGCAGGGTCGAGGGGGGTGGTTGTATCCCAGTCACTGTCACCTGGTCAATCAATCGTCATCTCCCATCACGAAAAACGACAACGCACCAGGGACCAGGCGATCTGCCTGAGAACGCGAGTTCGAATCGTATTGCAAATGTGCAATAGGAGGCACCTATAGAGCAAAATTGAGCCCGCTCAGCCTCAGGTGTGAACAAAAACGATTAGTGGGGTCAACCCGCCATTTCGAACCGGGGGCCACTCGATTGCAGAGAGTCCCCAGCCGACGTCGGTAGGATAGATTATGGCTGAATTCCCCCGGTAATGTGCTACGGGTATGGGCCGCCGCTTGAACGCTCCCGGTTCAGCCATAATCTAAGTGCCAAGAAGGACGTCATTAGCACGTAACCTCGGAAAAAGGCCATGGGCGACGTGAGAACATTCCCCTGAGAAGCTTAAAAAAAAGCTCCAAGTGCTCCAAGTGCTCCAAAAGCACAACCGACCCTCCCTCCCTGGTTCCCCCCGCCAAATGTCGCATTTCCCGGGGCATGCTATCCTGTGTAAGCAGGGCAGGTGGGGGAGGGGGGTACTCCCACCTCTCCTGTGTGTACGTGGTGAGGAGGTTGAGGATGACGAGGGGGATGAGCAACCGCAATTTTCAATCTCCCCGAAAGTTTTTGGAGACCCGTGTCGCGTGTCGCCGTGTCAAAAAATAAATTATTTTTTCTCCCGACTCTTCCCCCCCCCCCCCCC